CACTTCTTCTATCTAAGTTGAATCCAATTTTAGACATCAACATGTTTTTTTTTTACTCGACTTTTGTTTTCTATTATTGACTTTGAGATGTGGTTGTGCATATTCATATCATGTTGCACGTGGGATTTTGGACATTGTTGCAAAATTTGGTACCCATGTAATTTCTGAGAGCATTGTTTTTTCCATTGTTTGTTTAAAATTTGGGATGTTATAATTGGATATAACTGCGTTATTATGTGGGTACATTTTGTCAATTTTTTAGCTCGACCATATGTAGGTTTTAGCTTCTCTTCTCCACATTGCATAACTTGACTCTTATGCTTAATCTTTTGCTGCTGAGTTTGAACAAGTCATTGCGTTTCTTGAGTTTTATCTAATTCTTTTTTTTTTTCGATACAAATATGCGTGTGCATAATCTTACGCTCCGTTTGGTTCATTGAATGGATTTGAGGGAAAATAATTTCCTATGTCATTTCTCAAGGAATGGGAATGAAAGATTCATATCCCACTTTTTGTAATGTCGGGAAAGTAACCGGAAGATTTCACTTTATTTCCTAAGGTCAATGGCTAAAACTACGATGCCCAGAATCTCACATCGATTTGTGCAGCGTGTTGAGAAGACTTTCAGCTCAGACTGCGGTTATAATGACTCCTCCTCCCCTTCTGCTACTTCATCTCTTTCTATATTCACACATTTGCCTGTTTACGTTTCCAAAATATAATTGTTTCATCATACACAATGGTCTGATGGCCTTGATCCTATCCACAGAGTCACTAGGTTTTGGTTAAACCAAAAATTTTTAAAAAAAAAAAAAATCATGAACTAAATATTAGTTCATGTATTACCTGAACAACTAGGTAATCTTTCAATTAGAGAGGAAAGCAAAAGAACAACGGCTATATAGCCCCAATAATTTTTTCATAACCAAAAAAAAAAAGGGAAAGAAAAAAGAAAGAAAAGGAAACCCAGTTTTTTGTATTGCTTAATCCAGAGCATCTTACCAAAAACATTATTCAAGAAAATCATATTTGACAGATAATTAACCCAGAAAAAAGAAAAAGAAAAGGAAAGACACACCCGGGGCAATTAAACTTCTACTAATGTAATCCCAAATTTTGTGGTCTTAGGAAGAAGAGAGTGATAGATTTGTAAATCTCTCTATATATATGCTCATTATTCCTTTATTTTTTTCCCTCTTCTTGTTGGTGTTATTAATTTCAAATTAATTTGCTCTTCCAATTTCAAATAGATTAAATTTGAAATAAAAAATGGGGAACAGTTTGGGAGATTGTGGTTGCAGTGATGCAAAAGATGCAATCAAAGGTGGTCCTTCTGCACCAAAGCAACAACATGTCGGCGTTCCTCCGACGACAAAAGTGGAGGACGATGCTGTGGTTGTAGGACCTGATCGGGCTATCCAGGCCTTGATCAAATCGGTACGTAATATTATTTCTAGTAATACTTTCGATGGTTTTATTTTTCACATTGAGTTCTTCTTCTTTTACAGTTTACTTAATTTTGCTGTGAAATTGCTACTTGTTTATTATTTTATTCGGTTTATATCCAAGGTTCAGTTAAAGAAAAATATTTTCTATTTATTTATGCCTTACCTCTTTATTTTTTATTAGTCCCTACGCACGTGTTTCTGCGCCTGCGAGAGGCATTTTTTAAAAGAATTTAAATTTATTTTAGAATTAAAAAAGATAATAGGTAGTTAAGTTCCATAAAAATATGATCCATTATCTGATTTTGCTTTTAATTTTAATTTTTTTTAATATGAAAAATGTGAATTTACCATATTATCTTTATATAATTAATTATTTCTATTCTTAATGTTTCATTAACCAACGACGTTTTCTAGTATTTTAATTATTTTATTTTTTTTTCTAAACATTAACACTTAGAATTAAAATTATCTCCCCATAAAAATTCAAATTAACAATTGTAACCCATTGAGGTGGTGAGAATTTCTTAATCTAATTAGCACTTATCTCCCCATATCATAGATTTTTTTTTTTTTTTTTAAACTTTCATTATGATGCAATGAACATAATGAATCCTTATAAATTCCTAATTGGAAATCTCACGTTTCAAATAAATCCTTAGATTATTATTCCTATTTTTGTTTTTACGGTTTACAAATTACTATATTTATACGTAGCCAGGTTGCCACATAATGTTTTGCTTTTAAAGAGAGACTCGAATATGAATGGCATTATTATTCATCACTATCATTGTTATTGATATTTTTTAAATTCTATGGAACAGGGTCTAGCCTAGTGGTCTCAGATTCGATCCCCTCTCTCTCAATATATCGCTTGTATAAATAAAAAAATAAAAAAAAACTGAAACTTTAAAACCACAGTTTTTTTTTTGGCTAATTGGTATTAATTAGTTTGTAAAAAAAAATTAGTATTAATTAGTCAAAATTATTTTTCTGACAGTATATATGGCATCCGCAGATTGAAGAAATGAGAGAAATCCATCGTCAAGGGTCATCTGGAGGTTCCCGTGCGTCAAAACAAGAAAAACCAAAGAATGAGGAGAGAGGAGGTTCATCACTAAGCCAGGGTCGTCCAGGGCAAAGCTTTTAGAAGCTGCACCAAATGAAAAATTGGGAACAATTCCAAATAGTCATCAAAAGAGACTGAGGGATTTCTTTTTTCTTTTTTCTTTTTTAATATATATATTTTTGTTTCACAGGAACAACTTGTTTGTGCCAAAATTGACTTCAAGCGAATTTCATAGCTTTATAAGAATTTATGTTAGGCTTTAAAGTACCAATAGCGACACGCCTGTATATGCCTCTCCTCACGTAATGATGAGAGACACAGAGGTATACGCCCCTATTGCAGGTAAGTTTATTGCCCAAATTAGTAGGGTAAAAGTAGATAATAGATGCATTGCAGTACCGGAGCAAAAGGCAGGAACAGAGAGAAAATGGTGTGCAAACAAAACATTCATTAATGGATTATACCTTCCAATGTATCTAAGAGACTTTGGAGATGAACCATCTTTTGGGAACTTGCGTTTTTCCACATATCTGCAAGATAAAAGTATCAATTATGGTACTTTTTATTTGGTTATTTCACTTACTTGCAATGTAAAATTCTCAATAGGAAAATAACCAGAACATACTTGGCAGTTTGGTCATCCCAGGTTTGAGCGTTTCCTTCGTTTACAGAGTAGATTTTTCCCCTCTGTGGAATCTGCAGAGTAAAGCATGGCTTTCAATATTGTCATTGCCTCGTCGTCATATATGGAGGATTCCGAGGTTGAGTGTAATGCAAGGAAATGCAGACTCTAAAAGTAAAGGCTCGGAATCCCGTACGTATATGCACCTTCAGCTCATAACAAAAGGGTGCACCCTTCACCTCATATCACAGCAGAGGAGCTCAAGAAATATGTATAATAAAAATAACACTAGAAATTTGTGTACAAGTAGACACCGTACCTAATACGTATGTATGTACCTTAATATTGGAGTGAGTTAATAAAAACTCCCAAAGAGACGGATCAAGCGTGAAGCCGTTCACTCCATGTCCAGTACTAATCACCAGCTGCAGTTCCAAACAAACTATCTTATTAGAACGTGAGGGAAGAGTAAGACAAATAATGCTCATATAAAATTTGGATAAAATTTTCAGAACATAAAGGAGAGAGAGTTGATTGTTTGTACCGTGCAAGAGCTCCCGTACATGCAATTGCCAGCAGCTACCGTGTTACTCCCTGGTCCCAACACGTCGTCAAGAGTTGGATTTTGCTTGTCTTTCACCAGATAAATCCCAAAGATCTGAATGTTGGAAGAGATATGTGCAAGTTAGTTTATATATTCTTTTTGCACATTTTAGATGATTAAATAGTTTTTTATGACAATTTTTTGGAATGACCATTGAATGAGGACTTAAATTATAAAATGTTCACGAGGTATCATTCTAATTCAAAATCCTAGCTGCTCTTTCCCTAGGTTAGTGAAAAATTCCACTAGGGCGTTTTGGATAAAAAGCTCATTTTGGTGGTTTCTTTTAAGCCATGATTAGATTGAAGTTCCCCATCACACCTTTAGTCTATGTTCTCAATCAAATCCTAACGCTGCTTATGTTCTCTAAATTTGTTTATACATCGTCTTTAACGGAGGTTGCTGCAAATCACCTAATTGTTCTTTGGTAAAGTTGTTATTTTCATTTATTTGTTCGCTCTTATGCGCAGATAGATCACTGAAAATTATATTTTCCCCACATCTGTTACGGATGCGGTGGTGGGGGGGGGGGGGGCAAACGGTTTTCCGACACTTCTTCAGGTAGTAGTGGTAGGGTTCGTTTAGGCTCATGGGTTGTTTTAGAGTTTTGGTTATGTTGGGTTTATGTGCTTTGTTTGGGCTTATAGCTAATTATGGTGATGTGGGTTAATAGTTTTAGTGCGGCTTTTGTTCTCATTAGTTTTACTTTTAACATGTTAGTTTGTTGCCTTCTTGGAATTGGTATTTTAAAAGTCTTATTGATGTCTTTGATTGTACTGTTGAAGTTTATCTAATGAAGTTTCTACTTGATTAAAAAAAAATTATAAAATGTTATGTTTATCCTTAACATCGTATTGTAGCTGTATGGGTTTAAAATTTAATATTACAAATTAAATAAAAATGGAGACATATAGTGTGTAAAAAGATTACAAAATTATTGTAATCACATTATCTACCAATAGTTTTCTAAACGAAAAAATAATGCATTAAATTTCTATTAAAAAGTTGATATAGATATAAATAATGCAGTGTGTCAAAGGACTATATATGCAGTTGTATGAAAAATGGATATCAAGACAAAGGAGATTCTAATCAAGGGCCAAAAGCATAAGATATCATGTTTCTTTGTCAGTTTTGTAATGGGTATTTTTGTAACAAAGTGGGCTGGGCAGGTTTTGGGCTTTTTTTTTTGAAAAATTGTGTTTGGGTATCTAGTAATATTATTGCAGTGGCTGTTTTTTAAATTGTACAATTTTCAAGGGTTGTTTGTATTGGTAAGTCCATTGAATAGTCCAACTGGGCTGTTTTATAGAATTGGGATTGCATAGAATTGTTCTATATTTTGGGATCTACGGTTGGGCTTAAATGTGAAGGCTCATGTATTATTCAGCCTTGTAAAGAGCTATCTCGTATATATACCTCTAATTTTGTGATGTTTCATGTGCGAAGGAGGTGTGAAGTGTATGTTGCTGCTTATGCTGACACGTGTCTACTACCTACAGAAGTGAAGAGTGCACCAGAATGTGACATGTGGGGCTTTGGGACAGGTGGTGGTCTCTGCGTGGCTCTCTCATTTGAGTCATCTCATCACCAAATCATTGAAGTAGATTTCCTACTAAAATTTGTAACGTTGTAATAGACTTGGGTCATCTTACCAAACCACAACCCAGAAAACGGGATGGATGTCTCTCCACACTAGAGTTTTTGCAAGTGCTGTTGTCTTAACCGGCATTGGAGTGTTGGTCTAATTCAGGGGTGAGTTAGGTGTGCAAGGCACGTGAGTTGTTAACACTGATGTGAATTAATTAGACAACTGTATAAAGTGTAATAGTGTTGTAGCTTAAAAGATTAAGAAATAGAGAAATCAATATTGCAATTTCTCTCTGCTTCATCATGGCTTCTTCTTCCTCCATCAACATTGATGGCTTGCTCAATATGGTACAATTTCTTGAAATGGAGTCATCAACTCCAATGCTAATTGTTCATCCACATCACTCAATTGATTAGTCCGAACAAATGCGTTATGGCTCCGTCCTGCTCCATCATCCGGTCGTGCGTCATGGCTCCGTCCTGCGTCATGGTTCCACTGCTAATTGTTCATGTATAACACTAGTTTGATTGGGAACAAATGCATCATCAACTCCCCCTGAAAAATCCCGATTTGTTTCCAAATCATACAAGTGAGGATCCGGATGATCCATATTATCCTTCATGACTTCGTCCCATTCTAGATGAACCCCTGTCTTCTTCACTCTCACAAAATCAACTAGAGGACTTACAAGAATCGATACGTGGTCACCGCCTTCCAAACAGAGCACATCGTTTGACAATTGTCCCTGCCAAATATAATCGTCTTCAGGTTCGATTGGCCATCGTCGTGTCCAACCAAACAAATGGTGTTCTGGTCCTCCGTATCTGACAAATGCTATCCGGGTGTGCAAAGCAGTTTGTTTGGTAAGATTTCGAACGATAATGCCAATACGACCTTCAGAATCTTCAAATTCCGGATAATCACCATAATTCCTGCTTGAGTAAACGAAGCATATAGTCAACCCTTTTAAATCACGACCCATGATTCTTCGAGGAACTTCAAAGAAGACGATATTATCCACATCAACGAATTTGAACCACTCAGGAATATCATAAATTCCGTTCAAATAAATTCCACCAAATCCACAAGTCCATCTCTGCACACCAGAAGCAAGACAGTCTTATACATGCATGCATATATTATGACATGGGCCGCATCTGCAGCTGTTCCTCTGTGTTTGTGTTTGTGTGTGTGTGTGTGTGCGTGTGTGAGAGAGAGAGAGAGAGAGAGACCTGTAGGATGTTGTTCCTAAAATCGGCAGTCAGATTGGTGCAGCCTTCCATATGAATCCTTGTCATGGAGTTTAATGACTTATCCAAGCCCGGAACCTCAGTGAGTTTGAATGAATCACTTAGATACAATTCTCTAATATTCGACATTTTTGAAAAATCTGAAATTGTTTCCAATTCTGGGCAGTCATATGCTTTCAGAACATACAAATTGGTTGGTAAATCTGGGATTGCACGAAGTCTTCTGCACGCATTTAAACACAAGACCTTGAGCTTTGAAAGACCAGCGAGACTTGGTAGGCCACAAAAGCCATTGTATCCAAGAAGCAGATGTTCTAAGGAAATTAGGCTACATAGATCCTTAGGGATTGCATCCACAGTTAACCTGCAGCCTGCAAGACATAATAACTCTATTAAAGAGTTTAAGCCATGTAACGAAAGGGGTAAAAGATGGAATTTCAAAATTCTCACCAGATAGAGATAAAATTCTCAACTTCTTCAATTTGACTATGGAAGATGGAATTTGACTGATGGCTGTGTTATCTGCTTCCAAAATTGTCAATGATACCATGTCCCCTAAGCCATCAGCCAAGTCTTTAAACGATGAACAACCATTCAGTAAAAGAGTTTCAATAGACTTGGATTTATAGAAATTCAGGGGGAGATCCTCTAGATTGTCGCAGCCTTCAAGATTTACCAAAGAAAGTCTTCCAAGATCCCCGATGGATGAGTGAACCTCAGACAATCTCCAACAGTATTCCAATATCAATTCCTCAAGATTTGGGAGTTTTGAAACGTCTGGTGATTTTCTAAGCCAACAGGAACAGCTGAGATTAAGGATTTTCAAATTCTGATGCAACTGTTACACAAAAACAAAATTAGAATGAAAATTAAAATCCAAAAGGAAGGTCTCTGGTACAGAAATTAAACCAAAATGAAGAGAAGGTGAAGTATAATATATGTATAGAACCAGAAGGAAAGAACCAACGACAACTAGTTTTGGTTGAGATTATTATACCTTGCAATCCTTCCAAACTCTTCTGAGTTTGCTGTGCCGCAGGTCTAAAGAAACTAGTTTTGGTTGCATAGGAAAGTCATCTGGTATCGACCTTAAAGGGAATTCATGCCAGGACAACCATATTAACTTTTTGGGAAAATCTTTGTACTCTCCAGTGAGCTCTACGTTGCTGAGGCGGAGTAACCTCAGCTTTTTCATGTTCGTAAATGCTTGTGCACGGAATCTAGCCTCGTCAGACCATTGCATATCTAGAGCAACTCCTTCAATTTCGTCAGTTCCCTGTTAACAAAAGATACTGAGTTAGAAAAATGATTTACAAACATGAAAATCCGTGTATGTATTAACCAAAAGGTATAATTAATAGTATTGGACCATGTTACGCCCTATAGTTTGTGTTTGCAATCAAAGCACATACTTTTTTTGGTTATGCCTAATTGAGCTTTGATCTTAATGGATATAATATAAGAAATGGCAACAGGTCTAGCGAAGTGAAAAATGGTATAAATTTGCAGATTAAGGTCTTAAGTTCAAATTCATATGGCACCTTGGTAGTGTGGATGTGTGAGAACCTCCTCTTTGGTTTAGACTATCGCTTGTACAAAACAAAAATAAAGAAAGAAATGGAAACGGACATTTTAATTTATTATAGACACAGGATACATATGCTTCTCTTGCATGATGCATTCTAAAACTTTATTACTGGGAAAGTACTTACAGATTCATCGCACAATACATTTGTTACGTCTTCACGTTTCCACAATCTACTAAGTTTTTCTGGGTGACCGTGGGCATTTTCATAAACGATCTCTCTTCCCATGTCTCGAAGCAAATCATGCATCCTCAGCTTGTTATACTTACCAACAGTTACAAGGCACCGGTCAATGAGGACACTGATTCCTATCGTTGCAAAAAAGCCACATCCATCTAATATTTTTGTTACATAGTCCTTGTCATCTCCAATAAAGAAACAAGATATATCAAGGAATATCTTTCTTGTTGTATCATCAGGTAGCCCATCAAAGCTTATTCTGAGTATTTTTTGAATATCTCCATCAGGACTTCTTTTCAATTTCTCCAAATGGTTTTCCCACTCCGCTATGGATCTTTTAATCAGAAAAGACCCTACAACTTCAAGTGCTAGTGGCAAGCCTCGACAGTAACGAATTACACGTTTTGAGAGGTCAAGATATTCTTGATTAGGATAACCACTTTCGAAGGCATGCCTACTCAAGAGCTCTAGAGCTTCTTTTTCATCCATTTCTTGAGCCATATATATGCCATCCACTCCAACTTGCTCTAGCAAATGTTGATTTCTTGTTGTTATAACAATTCT